ATTTTACCATTTTAACCATTTTTTGAGTGTACAATCTAGTGACATTAAGTACATTCATAATATTGTGAGACATTACCATAGTCCATTTCCAGAATTTTTTCATTATTCAAAACAGAAGCTCTGTATCCATCAAATGGTAACTCCCCATCTTTCTCTCTGCTCAGCCCCTGATAACCTCCTTCTATTTTCTGTCTCTATGAATCTGGCAACTCCAGGAACCTCATAGAAGTGGAATCATACAATATTTTGTCCTTTATATCTGGCTTATTTCATTTAGCATACCATCTTCAAAGTTCATGTTGTAGCATGTATCAGAATTTCATTCCTTTATATGGCTGAATAATACTCCATTGTATGTGTATATTGTATTTTGTTTTTTGGATACTGTGAATAACACATCTATGAATATAGGTATACAAATATCTGTTTGAATCCCTGCTTTGAGTTCTTCAGGGTATACACCCAGAAGTGGAATTGTTGGATCATATGGTAATTCTATGTTTAATTTTTTGAAGAACCACCACACTGTTATCCATAGATGGTATACCCTTTTACATTCCCACTAGCAATCTACAAGTACTTCTTGTTTTTATAATAGCCATCCTAATGGGTATAAAGTGGTATCTTATTGTAATTTTGATTTGCATTTCCCTAATGATTACTTATGATGAGTATATTTTGATGTGTTATGGGCCATTTGCATATCTTCTTTGGAGAAATATCTGTTCAAGACCTATTTGCTTTTTGTTGTTTTGTTATTATTGAGTTGTAGGAGCTCTTTTTTTTTTTTTTTGTTGAGACAGAATCTTGCTCTGTTGCCTGGGCTAGAGTGCCATGGCGTCAGCCTAGCTCACAGCAACCTCAACATCCTGGGTTCAAGCAATCCTCTTGCCTCAGCCTCCCGAGTAGCTGGGACTACAGGCGAGCACCATCACGCCCAGCTAATTTTTACTATTTTTAGTAGAGACAGGGTCTTGCTCTTGCTTAGGCTGGTCTTGAGCTCCTGACCTCAAGCGATCCTCCTGCCTCAGCCTCCCAGAGTGCTAAGATTACAGGCATGAGCCACTGCGCCTGGTCAGAAGTTATATATTCTGATATTAAGCCTTTGTCAGATACATGATTTGCAAATATTTTCTCCCATCCTGTGGGTTGCCTTTTCACTTTCATTTTTTTTTTTAGAGACAAAGTCTCACTGTGTTGCTCAGACTGGAGTGTAGTGGTGTGATCAGACTCCTGGGCTCAAGCGACTCTCCTGCTAGGACTACAGGCATGCACCACCATGCCCAGCTAATTTGTGTGTGTGTGTGTGTATGTGTGTGTGTGGGCAGGGTCTCACTATTTTGCCCAGGCTGGTCTTGAACTCCTGGCCTCAAGTGATTCTCCTGCCTCCCCTATTCACTTTTTTAATAGTATCCTTTGACACATAAAAGGTTTTCATTTGGGCGAAGACCAATTTATCCATTTTTTTCTTTTGTTATCTGTGTTTTTGGTATCATTATCCAAATCCAACATCATGAAGATTTTCCCCTATGTTTTCTTCTAAGAGTTTTATAGTTTTAGCTCTTACAGTTAGATCTTTGATATATTTTGAATAGTTTTTAATGTTGTCAATATACTTGATAGGACAATGGAAACTTGGTGGAAAGTGAAATGAAATACCTGGGCAGTCCCATTACTACTGTCTCAAAAGTGGATAAAAGTCCAGATCTAGGAGAAGACCAGGCAGAAGAGATTTCAGATGAATTGATGGGGTTTTCTCTGGAAGATCAAGAGGCCAAGGTAAAGTGTTCTCTGATGCTATCTTTGCATTCTTCACATTCCTTCATTCTGTTAAAAGAAAAACTTTAGACAAATTAAATTTAGCAGAATTTATTTGACCAAAGAATGATTAGTGAATTGGGCATCCCACAAAACCAGAACAGATTCCGTGAAACTGTAATCTACCACATGGTCAGACAGCATCACGTGGACCGAAAACAGAAGTGAAGTACAGAAAATGGAAGTGAGGTATAGAGACAGCATGATTGGTTACAGCCCAGTGTTTGTCACATTTGAACATAGTTTGAACAGTAGGTTGTTTGCAATTGACTGAAGCTCAGCTGCTGTTATTGTCTGAGACTCAGCTATTTGTTGCAAAAGTATACTCCTAAGTTAGGTGTTCAGTTGGTTTATGTACTAAGTTAGATTGCAATTTGTTATGTAAGGGCTCAAGTACAGAGGCATCCTCAGGACAAATTTAGTTTAATTTAACAATTCATTCTTGAATAAACTATATTGTATGTCTGATATGTTACAGCCACTGTACAAAAAGCTAGGGCTGCAGAGATCAAGAAAGTGTGGTCTTTAGACTCTAAGTGCTACCTGATTGATAGGGTGTCAGGTCACCATGTGAATCTTCTTACTGTTGGGTGAGCAGGTTCCAGTCAGTAGTTTGAACAGATCACCATCAAAGTAATCTGGTATAAGTGATGCCTCCAGAATAACAGTAATGTTTAGAATATCCTAAGATGATTTCTCAGGTATTTTATAATATATTCATTTCATAGTTTTGTGGGAAAACAACAGAAGCAAGATATAAACAACAGAAGCAAGATATAATTTAAAAAGGGCACGATGGGTGTTGGGAGAATTGACAGTGAGCTTCCTGAAACATAAACAGTTTTGAGGGCTTGCTAATAATGGACAGTAGTTCTGTGGAAAAACAGCAAGTTAGGGGTATTCAGCATGTGGAAAAGGTTTCTAGGGCTTCTGAAAAAAGAGCAATGTAAAATGAACATTTAGTGTTGCTTTTACAAGTGTATGTTAGTCTTCACGTTTGCAAAATGTTGTAGGTAGTATAGTCAAATCTCAATTGGTGTTAACTTAGTAAATTGAATTTAAGGTTAATAAAAAGAAAATTCTTTTATTTTCAATTTTATTATTGAAAACTTGTCTAAAGTGTGTTGATCTGCTTTTATGGAATTACAACTACAATACAGTGAACATAATTGAATCTTTCTCTGCTGATTGAAGATCTTTTATAGCCTCAGAAACATCATTCTGAGTTGTATAATGTAGACAGTATAGGAGAATAGATTTAAAATAGATTGACCCGGCCGGGCGCGGTGGCTCACGCCTGTAATCCTAGCACTCTGGGAGGCCAAGGCAGGTGGATCCCTCAAGGTCAGGAGTTCTAGACCAGCCTGAGCAAGAGTGAGATCCTGTCTCTA